GTTTTGCATTTGGAACCTGATGAGAGCACATAGCTAAAGACAGAGCAGAGGGTGGACTCCTGCATATAATGCATGTTGATGCTGCAAATGAGGCCAGAAACAGGAAAAGAAAAAAAAAGTCCCGTCCTGTGCTTACAAAAACATTGCTCAGGACAAAAAGGCTAGGAATTCTTACTGCCAGGATCTTAATTCGAGGTCCACCTACAGCACCATCCACGGGACTCTATAGTTAGCCATCAACCCTTAGTTTGATCCAAACAGTGGCCCACATCCATCCACGTGTGTGCAGTAGCTGACATCAACATGTTGACAAAGTGGAGCCTCCCCAGAGACTCAAGAACATGCCTCACTGTGGTGCTCACAACCACAGGACTCCAAACCTCAAACTCAGGCAGCCAGAAACAAGGATGCGGTTCCCTCTAGAAGGTTCTGTGAACATCAGCTGGTTCTTTTGTAGTGCACAGCATGGTAGCTCTCTTGATTCAGGGGCCTGCTGCCTCCTACAGACCCAACTACAGTCTGTGCCCAAGACAGACACCATGTTCTTAGCTCTCACATGAGACTACCAAGCTGAAGGAATCTGCAAGAAACCAAAATTAGAGCTTCAGGTCAAGACACACTGCCCTGCCAGGGATCACCCTCAATATTCCCACCAGGGGACTGAGCAGCAAATTAGGGGCACACATGGGCCCTTAGCTTCGCTTCCCTCTCTAGCCCTCAGTCAGAACTGCCCATCAGGAGTGGAGGCCTTCTGTAGACCACAAAGCCACAGCATGACCTCTGGCTTCTCCTGCCACCCAGGGCTTGGCTTCAGTTCTCAAGGAAGCAGAAAGAGGGCACAGTGGCCAAGGGGCTTGCCCTGAAAGCCTGGTGGCCTCAGTTCAGGACCCACAACGTAAAAAGAAACAGAGAGTAGCACATGGGCCTGTAATCTCAGCGTGCTCACACTGACAAATGGGAGACAGAGGCAGGAGAGTTGCTGTAAGTTCAAGGGCTAGCAACTGTGAATCAGAGCCCTTGTCTCAAAAAAGGTGGAAAGTAAATATCAACACCTAAAGTTGTCCTCTGACCACACACAGAGAGAGAGAGAGAGAGAGAGAGAGAGAGAGAGAGAGAGAGAGAGAGAGAACAGAGCCAGGGGTCCTTGTGGGTCCTTCCAGCTGCCCCTTCAGCTCTCAGCTCTGGAATCATTAAGAGCCCTGCACTCCTAGCTTCTTGGCCTTGTCAGAACCATACCTGGCTCACCAGGACAGCAGACCCATCTGGGCTCCTTCTATGGCCTCTCCTCTTCTGAGCTCTTTGAGACTCATTTCCTGGGGGTAGGGGGCGGGACTTGCAGCAGAGAGATAGTAGTCCCCAAGCCTCACAGCTGATGACATTATACATCCAGTCCTCAGGAATGGCCCAGAACATGACATCACCACCCAAGCATCTGCTCTTGCTTTTCTGAGATGGCCTGTGGCATGCCTGTGACCTCAGCAGCCCCTGAATCCATCTTTGTTCCTCTATCAACACTGATGACCCAGGGAAGGTGCCTGAAGCCACTGCGCCCCAGTGATCAGTGGAAAAGCTTTAGCATTTTGGTGGAAACTGTCCTATATGTGAATTCCATGAGAGGACATGCCCACAATGCTTGATTCCCACCACACTTGACTGGGTGATGCCTGACTGTCCCCAGACATGGCTCCCAAGACTCTGAGTCAAGGTCAGGTCCTGAGATCAGCAGCATCTTGTATCAAGATGACGTAAGTCCTTCCTGATCCAGCACTCAAAAGCCTTGTCTTCCAAGAAACATCACTGTCCTAGGAAATCGGGGTCATTGGTCACCCCCCGCCTGAGTCTTGTCTCAACCCTAAAGAGCAGTTTGATGAAACAGGAGGTCTGGGGAACACTTGCCTCTTTCATACTCAGATGCTTGCTTATGATTCTGCATCAGAGGTTGATAGGGGGATGGTGAGACACATTTGTAATATCTGCATCAGGAAGGCAGAGGCAGGTGGATTACGAATTCCAGGCTAGACTGGGATATAGCAAAACCCCATGTGATGGTTATCATTATTGCCAACTTGACACAACCTGGAATCATCTGAGAAGGGATTGTCTACATTAGATTGACATGTTGAAAATTGTTTAATTGACTTAGTTGATGTGGAAAGAACCAGCCCACTATGGGTAGCACAATTCCCTAGTCAGTGAGTCCTGAACTATATAAGAGTGGAGAAACAGAGCTGAGCACAGAGAAGCCAGCAAGTGAACATGCACAAATTCATTCCTTTCTGTTATCGACTCTGGATGTGATGTGACTCACTGTTTGAAGTTCCTGCCTTCACTTCTCCACCTTCCCCACAATGACGGACTCTAACCTGAAACCGTAAGCTACAATAAACCCATCTCCCCTAAAGTGCTTTTTGTTAGGGTGTTTTATCACAGGAACATAAATGAAACTAAGATACCCTGTTTGATCCCTTCATCCCCAGGAGTCCTACATGCGCCCACAGTCTGACCCGACCCCTGGTGACAGATTCTCCCAGTGGCTCAGGTTGTCCAGCTCCCAACCCTTATGAGCAGAAATGAAATGTATGTGGGCACTCAGCCTGTCTCCTGGGAACTGGAAGCTGAGTGAGAGCAGGATGCCAGTGGTTGGCAGGGACTATCCACAGTCTTGCTGGGAGCTGAGTCTCTGTGATACCATGTCTACCCTCCCCTCTCCCTCCTCTGCTCCCACTATCTGATTAGGGAAAATAAAGACACATAGAGGTAAATGCACCAGGACAGGATGGTGGGGCATTCGTCGTCAATGGGACTAGTTTCATCCATTCCTCACAGGGGCTGAGAGCCAGTGCATGAGCCAGGAACCTTCCAGGGAGCCAAGCAACTCTCCTTTATGGCACTGGTACCCTCTGTCCCACCCCCCAACCCTCCCCCTGCCCAACTGAAAATCTCCTTTCTTGCCCCTTCCAATATGCACCCTTGCTTAGCAAAGCCGAGGTCAACCCTCATTGAGAACCTGGCCCTGTGTCCTCACCCTCTAGCCCCTCTCCTCACCTCTGCCTACTAACTTCCTCCTTGCTTCCCATTCCTCTGATCTTTCCTTCCCAGGCCACACCTTCCTTCTTTCTCCCTGCTTCTGATCTGCACAGGGAACTATCCACTGTGCTCAGTAGTAGTACTCTGTCTCCTGTCCACTATCCTGATATCATCTCCACATTATGGACTCCAGTGCCAGATACACATTTTCACCCTTACTGGAGAACTCTGGGAAATGTGGAACTACCCACTAAACACTCCTGGACACATTCCCAAGCTCCTGAACTTGCATGTAGTAACCATGCTGGGACCACTGCTCTCTATGGACCTTCAGTCCTGAGCCTTGCACCCATATCCTTCTCATACACTGGAGGAGACACTGACAGTCCCCTGGGCATAGGCAGATATCACTAGAACTCCTCCTCCTAACCATTATGGTCTTCGACAGTGGCAAAATTAGTCTGTGATTAGTATCTCCAGTGCACATTGATGATAGTACATGAATGAAATGCAAAGCAAATATCCATATGTATGAGATACACAAATAAAATGTATAAGCAAATATCCATATGTATGAGGTCTATGAATGAAACACATAGGCAAATACATGCATGAGATATTCGGTGGCCACAGCCAACATCATGCTCTGAGCATAACTCAGCTGTAGCACACTTGGCACATGCTGGCACATGCGTTGGTCTTTACTGTTTGTCCTACCAGAGCAGAGAAGTAACTGTTAGTTATCATATATTCAGGCATGTGGTTTAAAGAAACTCCAAGTTTGCTAGAGGTGACCAGCCCAGGGACAGTATAGCAGCTCCAAAATTATCAGAGCCCTGAGTTCTTTGGACATGCTGCACTGCCCTTTCAACCCAGGGTTTACAGTTTGGGGCACAGAGTGGCTGCTTGAAGTCCAGCAATAGCATCAGCATGCTAAGTGATCAGGACCAGGTAAAGAAAGATACAGCCTTTCTCAGTCTACAGATGTGCCTGACTTTGTCGGAGATAGGGAATGGTGCTTGTTAATGGCAGAGAGATTGACCTATCAGAATGATGTCACAGCTCCAAATCTGTGTGTACTTCACAACATTGCTTGGAGATATATGACCTGAAAATCAGCAGAGTTAGAGAGCTTGACAAATCTCATATGAATGCAGGAGTCTGCCAAAACCCTCCAATAACCAATGAAACAAGCCGACACAGAATCAGAACAAACTCACCTCTAAAAATGGATCCACATTCTTTCCAAGTACAAGGGAGCCCCCTCCCCTACAAAAAAAAAACAATGCCTCAAGAAACCTATCTGCCCCTTCTTCTCACCTATCATTTGCCTGCCTGTGGCTAACCCTGACCACACGTCACCGAGAGGCTGGGATATAACAACACACTCCAGGTGGCGAAGTCCCCAGCTAAAATTGAAAGGTTCTCTTCCAAGAGAACAGAATGAGTACACCTCCCCTGCTGCCTTCTAGCCAGGAAGTACTGCCAAGCCTCCTCACTTTGTGATGCTGCACAGAGAGGTTAAGTGACCTGCCAGAGCCCGGGAGCAGAGACAACCTGCTGAGGTGTGTACCTACTGAGAAGCAAAGAGGGCCGATGCCCAGCAGGCCTTCTGGAGCCCCACTGATTTCACAGTTCTCGGATCCTCCATCCAGGGGTCAGAACAAGACAAGATGGTGTTGAGTCAGAAATGGGACATCTGGGAAGTGGAGTAGGGCTCTCATTTACTGAGCACACACTATGTTCCAAAGCCTAGTTAGACCCTGAACAAGGAGGATCTCTCAGATCTTCCTGAGGGTCCTGCAGCAGAGCATCACCTCTGTGCTTACAGATGAGGTCTCTGGGTGGGAGGGCGTGGACTTTCCCACAGTACACATTGAGGACTTGAAGCTGGCCGTCAGCACACAGAGCCTCCTAACTCCTTCTGGCAGAGCCACTAGCCAACTGGACCTGCTTCTTCCTCTTCCGAACAGGTACTTGTGCACAGTGACGCATGCAGAAGTCCTGCTCAGATCTGCAGCTTTGCCAAATGTGTGAGTATCATGAGCAAGTGTGGGCGTGTGTGCATTCATGTGAAAAGAAAACATGTCCTGCAATGGTAGTGAGACAGGGAGACAAAGGACTCTGGAGACCCGAGGGTTAGCCTTGTATCATAATAACAAAACTGAGATCCGAACGTCTAGAAAATTCCACCCAGATCACCCTTCCGTGGTTGTACAACTTCATCTGGGGTCCAAGCTGCACACATGTACACCCAGCACTTCAGCCTCAGACTCACTGGGAAGCAATGACTGGTGAAGCCATTGGAGATCTTTGGTGGGAACGACACCAAGAATCCCCGTGGTATCCCCTACCCAGCATCCTTGTGTCCTCCACAGGCCCAGCTACCATGGCACACTGCAAGACCGAGCAGGATGACTGGCTTCTGGCCCACCTGAAATATCTGCTCTTCATCTTCAACTTCTTCTTCTGGGTAAGTGGAGGCTATGTCATACCCCTCCCCAGACCTGCAGACTGGCTACTTTCACTTTTGAGTCACTGTACCAGGGTTGACTTCTTCCAAGTCAAAGACCATGCTGGGACCCATCCTGCCCTGCTGCTCAGAGTCAGCCCTGCCCTGGCTATGAAGGCGGGTAGAATCCAGGCTGCAGCTTTCATGGAATCCATCACAATAGACCCAAGTCAAACTGTCTGTGTGCAACCTCATCTATCCTCCCTGTCTCCAGAACATCATGCCCATGTTATCCTCAGTGCTGAAATGATGTCCCCTTGCACTGAAACCCACTAGCCTTGCCTGGCCATGGTCTCAGAGCTGCACTGTGGCAGGGATGGTTTCTATGGCACTTGACACAGGTTTCCCACAGCAGTCTGGCCTGTCTCTCAGAGGGGCTTATCTGTTTAATTAGAAACTCGATACCATCAATCCCCAGAGGGCCTGTAGAGATGTTGCATTTTACTCTAATTCATTTGTTAAGATGGTGTCTCACTATGTAGTGCAGGATGGCTTTGAACTGGTGATCCTCTTGCCTCAGTTTCCCAACTGCAGGGCTTACAGGGGCTTGCCATCACATCCGGTGTTTGTTGATTGTGTGTTTCCTTTTGTGGTCTCACCGGATGTTGGAAAGACTAAGAGGGAAGGTTTGCAGCCAGCAGGGGCCCTGGCAGCTGTGGATGCTGTGGTCCGGGGCGACTTAATCCAGATCTTTGAGTCTGTTTCTCATGTTCTAGTTTGGCAATCATCTCTAGCCTTTTAGCCTGAAAATGACCCCGAATCAACATCCCGATGAGGTAGGGCTGGGTTCCAGGTACCAGGCAAAAAACAACCCCTCCACCCCCATCTCAGAAACACAGAGGGACCATAGAGTCACTGGTTCCAAGCTCAGGGTGGTTTCAAAGCATTGGGAAGACTGAAGGCATCAGATACTATCTGTTAAAATGGTGGACATGGTGTTTGCTTAATTATGTTCTATAAAGTTCCTAAAAACAAAATAACTTGCTTTGATCGTCCCAGGAAACACTTCCAGTGTTTAGAATTCTAGCAGAGCAATCATTCTTCCTCCTTTCCCCTCCCCTTTCTTCCTTTTTTGGGTATTTTTAAGGTTTGGTGTTGTTGTTTTGTTTTTCGACAGGATCTCATACTGTAACCCAGGCTGTCCTCAGACCTGTGGCAATCCTCTTAGCTTTAGCTGGGGTGACATGCATAAGCCACCCTGCCTGGGTCAGACTTTTTTTTGTAAGACTCCTTTTCCTGACCATAAACGTCTCCTGTGCCCACCTCAGATAATCTCCAAAAGACTGACAAGTATAAAAAAATTAATTACCCACATCTTACCATGTTGGTCTCCTAGGGTGACCAGGACAGAGCACCACAGTCTACAGTCGGGGTGGCGTTAACCAGCAGAAATGGTTTTTACTCGCTGTTCTAGGCCTAGAAGTCCATGCCATGACCCAGCGTGATGCTCAGGTCCCTTAAATTGAACAGAATTTACCAGGGAGGGAATGTTCTGAGAGTGAACTCCTTCCCCACAGAGAAGGTCCCTTCCTATGTGAGACACATTCCAAAGTCCAATTGTTGTGGCTTACCTGAACCCCAGTCATAAGAGAGATCAGTGTTTGCATGTCTCCCACCCCTGGGGTCACCATGGCTTCTGCCTTCCTGAAAGAACTACATACAATACTATCTTTCCACATCCTCCAGCCTGCTGCCCACTGCCCCTTTACCTTCCAAATACAGAAACGGACACAGAGCACAGCCCAGCCACCCGGGCTACGAGTGCAATAAAGCACAAAGTCCTCTTTCATTAACGCAAAGCACCTCTTGAGTGCAGGTCCACATTGCAGGGCTCTGCCAAAAGCCAGCATGGAGCAAAAAGCCCAGGAGGCCATCTCAGTGGCCATAATTCCCAGCATTGAAGGATTCTGCATAGGACACCCCAGTGACCTTCCATTCAACTATAGTAGTCAGTGTTACCAGTGTCCCTGTTGTATAGATGGGGACCTGGCTCACCAGGTCAGCCACTGGCAGTTGTCTTAGTTACTTTATTGCTGTGAAGAGACAACATGACCAGAGCATCTCATAGAAAAAGAGTTCATTTGGGACTTACAGCTTCCGAGGGTGAGCCCATGACCATCATGGTGGACAGCATGGCTGCAGGCAGGCAGAGTTCTAGAGCAGTAGCTGAGCGCTGCATCCTGATCCACAAGCATGGAGCAGAGAGAGCTCAATGGAAATGGGTGGGCTTTTGAAACCTCAAAGCCCAGTCCCAGTGACACACCTCTTCCAACAAGGCCACACCTCCTAATCCTTCCTAAATAGTTCCACCAACTAAATAGTTCAAACCTATGAGCCTATGGGAGACTTTCTCATTCAAACCACCCACAGCAATCGAGCTGCTAGGCAAATCACTTACTCTCACGCTGTTGTTGTTTTTTTATTGTTGTTGTTTTGTTTTGTTTTTGTATGTAGAATAGGAATGCTAGAACTGTAAGAACTAGAACTTGCTATTACAGAAATGTCTAGCACAACTGATGGTCTGTATTGCTGCCCTGCTGTTAATGGGATGGGATGAACCAGTGATCGCCATCTCTTCAGCAGTTTCCTCCATTCCTAGCATTGGGCTTAGAGCTCCGGCATCATGACCTGCGTAGAAAACAAGGAATGTTCACATGAAATGTTGCTTTCTGAAGCTAAACTTGCCTGCATAGGGTGTGATGTCTCTGGGACTTTGCTGTTTTGTCAATAACAGTGTCATTATTACATACATTATTATACACAGGCCTGAGCAGACCACATTCCCACATCTGAGAAAAACAGAGCAGACCCCACTCTACTCACGCCTAGCAGGACTCAGGCACCAGCCTTCCCATCACCCTGTCCCTGAGGCCTCCTTGGATGAGTCTGGTCAGGGATCTCTGAAGCCACCACTGACATACCTCCTGGGTGACGCTGAAAAGTAAACATCCCCAGCTTTCCTGCATGGCTGCCAAAGAAACACTTTTCTTCCTCCCGCTTCCTTACGGAGCTCCCGTCACCCCTCTGTTGTTCTTTAATTTATTATTTTAATTAGCTGCTTGGCTGTGTTAATAATCAAAATGTTCCCAACCTCCCAGAAGCTCTGCCAGGCTATGGGAGGAGCCTGGGAATGCTGCCTCAGCTCACAGCTTGTCCTGCCTTGAGGGTCCACCCAGGCCTTGGTGCTACCAATGGGGACCTCTTTAAAGACACATAGGTGGCTAAGGAGATGTCCAAGTGGATAAGAGCACTTGCTGTGCAACCTCGAGGACCTGAGTTCAAATCCACAGCACTATGACAAAGTCAGAGAGACGGGCTAGAAACAAGAGGATCATTGAGCTTGCTGGGTGCAGGCTAGCTCCAGGTTCAATGTGAAATCCTGTCACGTACATAGGACATCCAGACTCCTCCCGTGGCTTCCGAGTATGTGTGGGCATGCATGCCTTGACACACACTTCACACACACACACACACACACACACACACACACACACACACACACACACAGGGGGGGGGAGAGAGAGAGAGAGAGAGAGAGAGAGAGAGAGAGAGAGAGAGAGAGAGAGAGAGAGACTGACTCAAGGCTGAGAGTGGGAGCTGAAAGAAACATGGAAGACTGAGCACCACCCACAGGGAAGGTCGGAGAATATCCCTCAGGAGACCCTCACTTGAGATCCAGCACTTACTCGCTCCTGCCTAGCCCCACATGGCCTGGGGTGCTGGAGTACATGGAGGGTGGAAAGCTACCTGAAAGGGTCTCCATCTAGGCACCCATGAGGGAGCCATCTCCCGTACTTGGGCAGGCTTTTCAGTGAAGCAGCTGTTTGAGGGTATTGGGCGGAACTGCCCTTGGGTCTGGTGTCAAGGCCCTATTTGGAGTGAGTTTGTTCACATCTCCCAATGCAACATCATCCAATGGGACAGTAAGATTCTTGGATCTCTCTAGTTGCGTGACCACGGAAATGCCGCTTCTGTCTGGGCCATAATTCCTCCCTCTAGAATGTGAACTTTCCTTTCTATTTTCCCTTCCTTCCTTCTTCCTCCCCTCCTTATTTTCTTTCTCTTTTCCTTCCTTTCTTCTCTTCCTTCCCTAACACCCGACATCTGCCCTCACTCTAGCACTCTCCCTGGGATACCAGGGTAAACGAAGATTAATCAGGAGGCTAGTGGGGAGACGGTGTAGTGAGTAAAACATACCTCCTGTGAGGAGCGTAACTATAGAAACACGCACAAGGCTCGGTGCTGGCAGGGGGGATAGCATGACGGGCTGGGTGTTCGGTTCGGTATGCCCGACTCCAAACAAGGTTTCCTGTGGCTTCCTGGGAAGGTGAGGCAGCGTCGGGACCCTTCCTCCCAGCTCCAACCCTCTGCGTCCTGTGAGATCTTGCACTCATCAGGACAGATGAGGCTCAAGATGAGAGGGTCAGCGATGCGTTAATTCATGTCATCTAGGGGTATCTAAAACCAAACAGCTGTGAAGAGCTGCAGGTAGAAAGCCACTCCTAGGCCTGCGCGTAACAAATCCGTCCTTACAAAGGTGATCCCACAGAACTGCTCCAGAGCCGACAGCCAATAGGACCTGCGCGTGGACAGAGCCAGGAGAGATGCCTACCTGGTATTTGAGAAGTGCTGCTCATTAACAGGATGCAGAACAGCCTTCTGGCCCTCTGCAATCCAGGAGGCTCCAGCCTCAGGCAGTACTGGAGTGCTGCTGACCTGTGTGCTCTGGGTTCAACCAGTGCTGTGAGAACTGAAGCTTCAGCCAGAGACTCAGCTGACTACAGACGGGCGAGTGGAGGTTTGCGTTTTAAAGGTGGCCCCCCTGGGGCTGTGGCAGAACTGGAGGTAGAGCACTTGCCTAGTGTCTGCAAGACCCTGAGCTCCATCTCAGCATGCACCCCAAAGCAAAAGGATCCAAGTAGCCCAGGAGACTAAGCTTGGTTCAGACCAGGCACCCCAGC